AATCCCAGCATTTTAGGAGACTGAGGGAGGAAGATCTCTGAGGCCAGGAGTTTGAGAGTGGCCTGGGCAACATAGTGAGACTCTGTCTCTAAAAATAGAATTAAAAAATATCCAGGCATGGTGGTGTGCACTTGTAGTCCCTGCTATTGGAAGGTTGAGGTGGGAGGATCGCTTGAGCCCAGGAGTTGAAGGCTGCAGTGAACCTATAATGGCATGCATTCCAGCCTGGGTGACACAGTGAGAACCCATCTCTAAAAAATAAATAAAATAAAACAAAACAAAATAATAAAATAATAGCTGATGTCTAACTATAATCATGTGTATAACTGTCAAACTTTGGATGAGTAAGTCTAAAATAATTTACACTATAACAACAGTGAAATGTGCTAATGATTTCAGATATTAACTGAAGGACTGTTGCTGAATTTTCAGATGACTGGCTCCCCAAAAAATACAGTTTAACGGACATAACTCTTCATATATCAAAGGTTCCTGCCATTCGGTGTCTCTAAGCTTGATTAGCTCTTTTTAGCTGTGTTAGTGTGGATTCCTGCATTCCTCATAGGAACACATTATTATTACTAACACAATTAAAATTGTTACTATGAGTCACAGACTATAGTTGTCTTTTTTTTTTTTTTTTTTTTGAGATGGAGTTTTGCTCTTGTTGCCCAGGCTGGAGTGCAATAGCATGATCTTGGCTCACTGCAACCTCCACCTCTCAGGTTGAAACAATTCTTGATTCTCCTGCCTCAGTCTCCCAAGTAGCTGGGATTACAGGTGCGTGCCACCACGCCTGGCTAATTTTTGTATTTTTAGTAGAGACAGGGTTTCGCCATGTTGGTCAGGCTGGTCTCAAACTCCTGACTTCAGATGATCCACCCTCCTTGGCCTCCCAGAGTGCTGGGATTATAGGTGTGAGCCACCGCGCCCGGTCTTGTGCTTGCTAAAATGTAGACTCTAAGACCTCGTTGCCAGAAATATAACCCAGGTTTCTATATTTTAATAACCTTCCCCAAGCTGGGCGTGGATGTGCACCTGCGGTCCCAACTACTCAGAAGGCTGAGTGGGGAGGATGGCTTGAGCCCAGGAGTTCAAGTCCAGAGATTCTAGTGCAGACCACGTGGACTACACTGGGGAATTCCTCTGTGCTTGCAGTAGAAATCAGCCATGAGAGAGTCCCCTATCCTTTCTGCCTCTTCTTCCTTCTGATCACTGGGAGGGGTTT